GCTCATCACCAACCTGTCGTCTGTGCTGAAGGATGAGACAGTCTGGGAGAAGCCCCTCCACTTTCACCCTGGACACTTCCTGGATGCCCAGGGCCACTTTGTGAAGCGGGAGGCCTTCATGCCTTTCTCAGCAGGTACCTGTGGGGCCTCCCTGTCCCTCCCCAGGGCCCCTTGGAGGGGTGGAGGCCAGGGACAGGCTGACTGAGCCCGAGTCCCCCTCACAGGCCGCCGTGTGTGCCTCGGGGAGCCCCTGGCCCGCATGGAGCTCTTCCTCTTCTTCACCTGCCTCCTGCAGCGCTTTAGCTTCTCGGTGCCCCCTGGACAAGCCCAGCCCAGCGACTATGGCGTGTTTGGTACCATGGTGACCCCGTCCCCGTACCAACTGTGTGTTGAGCCCCGCTAGGGGAGGTAGCAGACTCCAACCCTGCCCCCAGACGGGGCTCTGATGTTCAATAAACCAGTCTTGTCACTGCCACTTTGTTCTGAGATGCCCCTGGCTCTGTCTGAAGCCAGCTGTCGCCCTCTGCCCCATTCTTCCTGACTGGACCCCTTGGTGCATGTGAGAAATGGGTATCCTGATGCTCAGCAGGTGACTTCTGGCTCCATGACACCTACAGAGACCCATCACTGGCTGCTGGGTTGGTGGTCAACTACATACAGTAGTCTGGACTCTGTTGGTCCAAGGTTGGGGACAAGTGAACAGGTTTCTGCCAGACATCAGTGCAGTCCCTGACTGCCTGGCAGATGGTGTGACACAGGGAGTGGGACCTGCTCCCCAGAAAAGTTTGACCAAGCCTCTGTGTCCAGGGGTTTCCTTGGGGTTGGTCAAGTGGGGTGGAGCTGCCCTGTGACCAGCTGCCCCAACTCACTCCCTGTCCCTTCCCAGGCCAGAGAGATGGCCCAGTGCCCCCGCCCAGATCCCATCCCTGGTGTAAAGAGCCTCAGATATACAGAGGCGCTTGCCAAGAAGGATGCGCCCAGACCTTAGGGACAGTCTCCTGCAGCCTGACAGGAGTCAGGGGTTTGGTTGAGAATGTGGGATGGAATCCCCAGGCCTGCTGAGCAACTGTCCTCCAAGGGCCACTTGGCTCTGTGTGAGCGTCTGTGTTTGTTTTGTGGTGAGACTTGTGCCTGAAACGTACTCTCTGAACTCGTGTAAGTGTGCAGCTCAGTGGTATTAGAACATGACCAGGGTGGAAAACATCACCCTGGCGCCTGCCCGACTCTGCCCTGCAAACTGAGACTCTGCGCTCCTGCGGCTTCCCCTTCTCCACGCCCCACAGGGTCTGCAGCCATCTTTCTCGCTGGTGAACGTGACTCACACAGTGACGTCTTTGGAGTGGGCTCATGTTTTGCTTTTATCCCTGATGTCCTTAAATTCATTCAGGTGGTAGCAGGGATCAGTACCCCATGTTGAGGGAAGAATGACATCCCATCCTGCAGTCCCCCTTGCTGTGGTTTGTCTTTTTTGGGTGTCAGGTACCAGTGGTCAGCAGTTGGCAACTTTTTAAATGGGAAATTCGAGGAGAAAAGAATTTATTCATATAAAATATCACGGCCTTCTGGGTAGCATGAGGACAGCTCTCGTTCTGATCATGTCTCATGCTGACATCCTCCCCCCAGTTCAGCTCCCCACCTGGGCGCGGCAGCATCTCCCCTCAGCAGCAGAGCAGAGGTTGGAGAGGGCCACGGATCTGAGAGAGGGACCCCACTCACAGACCCTCACTGCAGGGCGCTGCTGGCCAGCTCCCGGGTCAGCCGTGTTATTGTCCCTATTGTGCCCAGGCTACAAATTAACCCTCCTGGTGGGCGCAAGTGGGTAGGGACAGCAGCACAGTGTGCAGCGTGGCTCGTGCGCAGCTTCAGGCATCCCCTGGGACCTGGGGTGGGTCTCTGTGGATAAGGGCTCCTGTCCCCTGCTTTTCTGGTCCACTCACCTGCCAGAGGACACTGGCTTCCACCTGCAGCTGTGACAGTTGGTGTACAGTGTTGTCTTGAGACCCTCCTTCCAGCTCCTGTGGACATAGACTCAGAAGTGGAATTCTGGCTCATGGGGCAAGTCTCTTTCCATTTTTGAGGCCCACTGCTGTTTCCCACGGTGGCTCTACCATTTAATGTTCTTTCCTAGAGCGTGTGTGTGTCTAGCACATGTGACGCACTCCATCTGATCCTCAGCACCACATAAAAATAAATGAATAAAAGAAAGACATTACATCCATCTACAACTAAAAACATTAAAAATTTCCCCTTCATTCCTCTGTTTTTCCCTTTTCATTTAGTTGATATTTTCAGTGTACCACTTTGATTTTTCCAAATTATTTTCTCATTGTTTACATTAGGAATAAGGACAACATGCTTAACTTATAAAAACCTCCTTTTTTTAAAAAAAAAAATAGAGATAGAGAAAATCTGTTTTGTAGATGGACACAACACAATGTCTTTATTTTTCTTTTTTTAGCATGGTGCTGAGAATTGAACCCGGGTCCCGCCTGTGCTAGGTGAGCGTTCTACCGCTGAGCCACAATCCCAGCCCCACAAAAACCTACTTTTAACAACTTACTTTCTATAGTATGAAAACTCTGATCCGATATATCTCTGCCCTTCCCCACTATATCACGTTCCCCATTAAGTATTCATACACTGTGTGCTAATAGCACAGATTTAGAATTCTTTTTTTATACATTAATGGTTCCAATCCCATAGAGAACATAAAAGAGGCCTTGTATTGTTAAACCCTTACACAAAGAAAAGACCACAGACTCCAATTTTAAGCCAAATTAAAGCAAGCTGTAATTCCGACCAGCTGGGACTGTTTCTCCTGAAGTCCTTGGGTTAGAGAACTCTAGCTCTCTAATAGCACAGTTTTATATCACAAAAAGTTGCAAAATGGGGAGGGTGTCTTGAGAACTTACAGATAACAGGATTTTGACAAGTGTAACACAAAGGCAGGTAGTAGGTTAATGGTCTAAGTAGTTCAGCACTTAAAGAGTAAATTTAGATCACAACATTAGAATTTATGAGGCGCCATTA